TGCTTCTTCGCGAAGCGCAGAACCCCACCCTGTTTTGGCTGGGAACCCTGGTACCTTTCAGGCGCAATTCTTCCTGAGATTGTACCTTCTGACGGCCCAGACACACAGCTGCAATGTGTCCCTGCTTTCCGCATGCTCTACAGATAGCGGAGCAGAATCTACAGTTGGTCCTCTTGTGCGACCTCCACAACCGAGGCACTTGGGGAGAGCTGAAGAGCTTCCTTTCTGTTTCCCTTCTTTAGTGGGGTAGAGATGGTCTACTTCATTGTCAGGATCCTCCTCTGGGTTCCTTTGGGCTCCTTCCTGGTGCACAGACGCAGCCTCTGGAGTGCTTCTGATCGGCCTCGTATTCTTGATGGCGCCGCCCGCTGCCTCTTCTGCAGTAACCTCTTTCAAGGCATCTTGGAATGATAAGTCTTCTTTAGCAAAAAGTCTCTGCTGTAATTCTCTCTGCCTCAGTCCGCATACAAATCTGTCTCTCAGCCGTTCTTCTAGATCCTTGAACTCGCAGTGTTTAGCGGCTTTTCTCAGCGCAGCAATGTATTCTTTGGCTGATTCTCCGGGTTGCTGATCCCTCTGTTCGAAGGTGTGGCGCCAAGCGATGACGGACAGCTTGGGCTGGAAGTGTTCCTTGAGTAGTTTTTTGAGATCTGTGTAGTTAACAGATTCTAGAGGTACGGGTGCTGCTATGTTTTCAGCGATTTCGAATGCATCTTGACCGCAAACGCACAGCAGGGTGGCGGCCTTCAAACTATCTTCTCTTACTTGGTTGACTTTAAGATAGTTTTCCACCCTGGCTACGTAAGACTCCCATCTTTCCAGATGCGAGACGTCGAATTCTGAAAGTCTTCCTACTTTTGCCATTTTTGTAGAAAAGGAAGGGTCTATCAGCCAGCCTACCCCCGATGCTCGCTGGATTGGCTGGTAGCTGCCGAGTCAACGCTGTTCCTACCGCTCAGGACTCTCTCGGGTAAGCTTACACCTGTCTTCGGTCGATGTAAGGCAATCCCATCCTCGTCGCCAGTGTTGCGTCCTTCGCGAAATGGCAATGACACGAGACGCAGTTGTAGTTCTCAGGAACTTCTTTATTTCTGTTCAGCATACTGGTTACAAGACGCCGACAATGCCCAAATCTCCCGGCCTCTTTTATAGGTGATTCCCGGGCCAATCTGCAACATTTGGCGCGCCAGCACCCGTGCATGCGCGCACATGCTGGCGACAGCCAGTCTGGTCCCGGGCAGCTTGCACCTGCCCAGGACCGTTGCAATGCCCTGAGCCTGCTTCCACAGGCTCAGGACATAACAATTTTCATATTTGATATGAAAGCAGATGAATTTATATTTTTCATTAGTTATATTGGGTAGGCAAAAAAAATGAATGCTTCATGTCATGAAAATTTTAACTATTGCCTCACTTCTCTGTGCTAGCTAAAAAATATCTCCCAACATCAAATGCAAGGAGAAAATGTTGCCATTATTTCCATTTCTATTTACATCCCTTTAGTTCTTAATAGATACACACTCTCATGAAGAAAAATGTCAGTCTCCAATTAAGGAAAGTACGTAGTACTCGTCTTTAAAATAATCATTACTTTGGATTTTCTTAGAAATTCAGATCCATGAATTATTTCAGACATGAATTAGGTTAGACTTGTTACCTTGCAAGAGCCATTAATGGGAGTGAAAAGAGAGTTTGCAGGAGCTGGAGGGAAGACTGCCAACATTACTCAGAAAGATTCTCATCTAACATTTTTACTATATTCAGATATTTGCCTAATGTCACCATTCCTAGGTAAGAGTGAATGCCATGCAGAGCAATTCATCAAGGCTTGAACTGGTTCTTTACTGATAGGTATCCTTTAGAGTCTTTATCCTTCAAATAGTAAAGACTGGATAAATATTGACAAACTAGCCTCAAAAATTGTAATGCATCCCTGGAACCAAAGCTGCAAGAGAATGAAAACAGTCTGAAAACGTACAGCATATTTACAATTAACAGTAGCTTCCTTTTCAAACTTGATTCTCCCTAACTCAGTTTTCAAATTATCGGTGTTAGTGGAAGGGTTTGCTACCATAAGGTTTCTACTTCTTTTTGTCCAGCATTTAATTAAATTATCCCATAATGAAATCTTTCCCTAATGAACCTGTTCTGAATAATTTAGTAGCTATTGAAGCCATTCTAGGAGTCTCATTAATTATGTATCGGTACAACACCAGGCACTTCCAATCAATTCCTCTCTTTTTTTCTTCCCACCACTTATGATTTGCTTCATTAAAAGCAACTTTGGGCTTTATTGTCCAAGGTTAGATCATTGATGCATGATGTCAAGGGCCCACCAAGAGATTATGGATTAATTTGTGCAAAACACATAGAGAGAAAGAGGCCAATTTTAACAGTTCTATGTCTAGTTAAGTGTATCAGTATGCAAGGTTTATCTTAGAAAGTTATCTATATAGAAAGATATATATTGTATTTACATTAAAACACAAAGCTGTTAAATGTCCAGATATTGACAAATTTATTTAAAATATGTTTGTATGGAAGTTCTTTGTTTATACTTCTTGTCAGAGGTTTTTAATTTATATTATATTTTTAATTTATATTTTAATTTATATTATGATTTGGAGTCTAACATGTTCACTTTCAAAGAACAGGCTTTCCCTGGTTTTCCCTTCAGGCCTGCAGAAAGTGCAGCACTTTTTAAGGGAGAAAGTCAGTGCGGTCAGTTGTTGTATTGTTATCTCCATTGTCTAAAGATCATTACAACTCCCTTGCTTAGTTTACTCACTGTGCCCTAGACTGTATCTCACTGTTTTGAGTCCTTCAGGACTTAATGTGGCCATCTGAGACAGTGGCAATCCCTCTCAGTATGTTCCCACTATTATTAATCCTATGTATTGATTTGACATCCCATTCCTTGCTATAAAATTATGTTCAGAAAACTATTGTTGAGAGTTTGTTCCTTCTATAATCAACATCTCCATCAATGATTTGGATGAGGGGATAGATGGGGAACTCATCAAATTTGCAGATGATACCAAGTTGGCAGGAATAGCCAATACTCCAGAAGATAGGCTTAAAATACAGGAGGATCTGGACAGACTTGAACACTGGGCTCTATTTAACAAAATGAAATTCAATGGTGAAAAAAGTAAGGTTCTACATTTAGGCAAGAAAAACCAAATGCACAGGTATAGTATAGGTGGTACCTTGCTCAATAATAGCAACTGTGAGAGGGATCTTGGACAATCACTTAAATATGAGCCAGCAGTGTGCTGCAGCTGCCAAAAAAGCCAACACAGTGTTAGGCTGCATTAACAGAGGGATAGAATCAAGATCACATAAAGAGTTAATACCACTTTACAATGCCTTGGTAAGGCCACACTTGGAATACTGCATCCAGTTTTGGTCACCACGGAGTAAAAAAGATGTTGAGACTCTAGAAAGAGTACAGGGAAAGCAACAAAGATGATCAGGGGACTGGATGCAGAACACTCTATGAGCGCTTTGAGCTGCAAAAATTTGGACAACCACTAGATGGAAACAAAGAATTAGACATTTCTATATTTGTCTGCCGCCATCTAGTAGTTTTCTGGAATTTTGCAACCTGGATCTGATAGCCCTACTATGAAGTGATGACACTAGTCTTAGGTAGGTATGGTTGCAGTGAAATTGAATTACCCTGCCTTGTCTCCCATGGCCAGTTGCCAGAAGACTTTCTGCTAGGATTACGTGTCAACATCACCACTGTGTTATTAGCTCTGCTGGAAATGTGAGAGATCAATGAGATTAGATTTGTCCTTTTAAAAAAGCCTGAAAAACAAGTCTCAGAGCAAATCAGAGTAAAGAAACCTGAGGGCTGGTGGGGGGACTGAGGGATGTTCATTGTAGGTATTCTGATACCTTCACTTCACACTGTAGAGAGTTGTGTGAATCACAATACACTTCACAAGCCTCGCCACAAAACAGCTCTTCACACAGTGGTTATGATCTGGGTATAGGCAGTCTTTTTCTTACAACCACAGTTGGGACCCCAATGTTTACCTAAGCCAGGGGTCTGCAACCTTGACAACTTTAAGACTGTGGACTTCAGCTCCCAGCTGGCTGAGGAATTCTGGGAGCTGAAGTCCACAAGTCTTAAAATTGTCAAGGTTGCAGATCCCTGACCTAAGCAACGAGGCCATTAAATGAGTTGTGCCTGATTTTGCAACCTTTTTTGTTGCAGTTGTTAAATGAATCTGGCTTTCCCCCATTGTTCTCGCTGGTCAGAATCCCCCTGGGAAGATCGGACTATTGCAACCATTGCAAATACATGCACTTAAACTTTGATCACATGACTGTGAGGACACTGCAATGGTCTTAAGTGTGAGGACTGATTGAAAGTCATTGTTTTTCACACTGTCCTAACTTTGAACAGTCATTAAACAAATGCAAGTAAGCCAAAGATTGCCTTATCTGAGTGTTTGCAGTGACATAAAACATAATTTATAATGAATTCTATGTAAATCCTCAGTAGATTTCATACCTGGGCTGGTATGGAGCTACAGAACTGACCCAGAGTTCATTCACTATTTCAAAAGAAGGTTTATTGATTTCCAGTAAGAGCTCACATGACTTCTATACTGCTTTCTATACAAACTATTCCTTCCACACCCAATAAATTCAGGACCTAACAAAAATGGTTGTTTGGCATGCTTGTATTTTTGGCATAATATTTTTTCTTATGCGGGGATATTCCACATTAAAACCAATTAGGACGACTAGAAAATATATAACCTATTCTTTAAAGAAGAAAAAGCCTAAACTCAGTTACACCTGCCCACTAACTGTAACTAGCAGTACAATGTTTTCTAGCAAACTAGATAGAATAATGCTAAGCTTTTTAATGGCCTTTTGGACTAAATCCCAAGAGTGAATGTCTCATTAGCTCTAGTTTGAGACAGGTTAGCACCTGCTAATATCTATGTCAAATAAATTAGCTTACGTCAGCTGCTACTCACATTTAGGGGTCTGTCCCTTTGAGGCCTTAGTTTTCCCTCCTTATCCAGGCCTATGCAGATGGTTGTCTCTCAACAGCTGTCTCCTGAATTAGTGGCCCATGGGCAGGACAATGCATGCAGTATGCTAAGTTGATCAGGTTGTGTATGGCATTTACTCAGAGCTCTACACCTGTCCTGTACAGATGGTAAAATGCGGTCGTTGCTCCCAGATACGTGGCGGGGGATGGAAGAGAGCCCAGCTTTTTAGCATTTCTATTTGTCAGAGGAATAATCAAAGCTGGAAGGTATAGAATGTACAAGGCAGGCTTGAATGTTTTGGAAAGCCAACTGAAGTAAAAGAAAAGCTTGTTTGCATATACTGTATGATAAAACTGTTACTTTTTCAGGGGCAAAAAATACCAAAACATAGATCAGCAAATTTTATGAGTATCTGGAATAAAACAGCTAACCCTAATTAAGAGGTTTTTTGGATGTTGGGGGGGGGTTGTATTAATATTAATGTGTTAGTATGGTTAATAATAATCAGTGCCTGGTGCTTGTTTTGTGCTGGTTTTTTTGCCGTCATTTTTCTTTGTACTTTGGGGTCTTCTAGATTAATTAAGGACTCACTTCTGATATCTGTAAGCTCCCATGAAATCTCTGATGGAAATCTGATCTGTCATCCCAATCTTCAAGGGATAGTTATTCAGACATATTTAATGAAAAATAGATTGGGCTAGGGTCTACAAAGCATGATAGTTTTATCTTTTGGAGGAAGATATGATAATTAACCCCTCCGCAAAAGAGGTCTCTCTCTCGATTGGATTAGCAAATTATCTGTTTTATTTTTAATTTTTAGAAGGAAAGAATCCTACATAGTTCTTATCTAACGATCCAAGCTGAAAATGGGCATTTAGGCTTTAATTTAGAATTGGAATTGCCAGTAAAGCATCTGCTCTTCCTATTAGGAGGTTTTCCTGATATTAAACTGGAATCTGCTTTCCTGTAACTTAAAACCATTATTCCTTGTCCTCTTCTCTGGGGGACAGAGACCAAGATTTGATCTTCTTATATGTGATATTTTTTCAGATTCTATTATATTACCTCCCAGTTTCTCTTCTAAACACTTTTTCAATTCCTGCCATTTCTTTTGACAAGACTCAGTTTCTCGTTTAATGAGACTTCTTGCTGCCCTTCTCTTCACCTAGTCCAGTTTCTCTGAGTAATACAGGATCATGTATTTCAGATGGACCAATATAAAACAAGGTGAATAATTACTTCCTGTGATAAGGAAATGATCATAACATTGGTTCTGTTGATGCATCTGTAGTGCCACCCACATAGGGACTGCTTAAGTCTGGGCCCTGCCGACCTCCCCTGCAGGTGGCCACCAGCCCAAAGAGGTCTCTCACATTGGCACCTCTGCCTAACGGCACATAACACAGTGGTATTCAGTCACGATCTGCAGCCACATACATGGGGCGGTAATGGTTGCTCTCTCCTGACAGTGACTCACTTGGTGCACATAAAGTTTTGTTCTTATATTCAGGTAGTCCTTGAACTTACAACAGTTCATTTAGTGATGGTTCACAGTTACAACAGCACTGAAAAAAGTGATTTATGACTGTTTTCATACTTCAACCATTGCAGCATTCCCATGGTCACATGATCAAAATTCAGATGCTTGGCAAGTGGTTCATATTTATGATGGCTGCAGTGTCCTGGGGTCATGTGATCAGCCTTTGTGACCTTCTGACAAGGAAAGTCAATGGAGAATCCAGATTCACTTAACAACCATATTATTAATTTAATAAACGCAATGATTCACTTAATTACTGAGGCAAGACAAGTTGTAAAATGGGGCACACTCACTTAACAAATGTTTCACTTAGCAAAATAAATTTTGAGCTCAATTGTGGTTGAAACTCAAGGACTACCTGTAATTTAATAGCATGAGGACAATGTGTATTCTATCTGCTGAGTGGGTCAAAAGAAACATGCAATTCTTTAGAAACTCTGTTTGCTGAAGTATTCAATCTCATATGATGGAGAATATTTGAAAAGAGAAAGACACAAAGGTTTGTAAGCTCCATCCATAGTATGTCATGGTGGTTCAGTATATTGTAATAGGATTTCCATGTGGTTAAAATAATTTACTATCCAGAAAGAAAGGATAACAAGTATTTCCTCTTTCCATCACACATACAAAAACACAAACATACATATCTATACAAAGTACTACTACTTCATATGTCACATACACGGTCAAGTGAGTTTAAATATCTGACTAGAACTAAGATTGATGTGTTTAATTGTTTAATTATCTTTTAGCTACTGCCTAATTTAGAGACTGATTGCAGGTACAATAGCAGTGAAAAAGTAACTTCAACCAATCTTCCCATTTACAACCTTCAAAAGTCTTAAACATGAGCCAGCAATGTGCTGCAGCAGCCAAAAAAGCTAATACAATCCTTGGTTATATAAACGAGGCACAGAATCAAAATCACCTGGAATACTGCATCCAGTTTTGGTCATTACATTATAAAAAAGACTTTGAGACTTTGGGAAAAGTGCAAGGAAGAGCAACTAAGACAATTAAAGTCCTAGAGACAAAAACATATGAAGAATGGTTGCAGGAATTGGGTATGGCCAGTCTAGAGAAAAGAAGGACTAGGTTTCAGGTCCCCTTCAAGTGCCCTGCCATTTTTTGAATGGGGAAGGAAGAAATTCTGGGGGAACATTCTTTGCATGCTTTTATTTTTGCTGTAACCATGTGGGAATTAAGAAGGGGGATCGTCTTCAGAGATGGGATGGACTCCCTCCCAGTTCTAGCCTGACTCCAAGGCTGCCACACCCTGAGGATGACCTGTTATCTCTCCTGTACCTCAGCATTCTCAAAACAAACTTGCACCACTGTATTGTCTGCCAGTGGACTGGTCAGGGGAGTTGAGTTTCAAAGTGGGAAGAATAGCTTGATGATTTGCACGAAAACATTAGATTCCATTGCAACAACTGTTTCTCAGTAAAAGTTATTTTGATTAACCTCTTGATGTCAAGAGTTGTGCTTTCATGAGAGGACTAGTTGGGGCAAGTCCTTACACTAGGAGTGACATGATAGAAGTATTCCAGTGTTTGAGGGGCTGCCACAAAGAAGAGAGGGTCAACCTATTTTCCAAAGCACTAGAAGGCAAGACAAGAAACAATGGATGCAAACTAATCAAGGAGAGAAGCAACCTAGAACTTTCCAACAGTGAGAACAATTAACCAGTGGAACAGCTTGCCTTCAGAAGCTGTGGGTGCTTCATCACTGGAGGTTTTTTTTTTAAAAAAAAAAAAAGATTGGACTGCCACCTATCTGAAAGGGTATAGAATCTCCTGCTTGAGCAGGAGGTTGGACTAGAAGACCTCCAAGGTCTCTTCCAGCTATATCCTAGTTAAATTAAGTCAGTAAAGCAAAGGAATGCTCAAGTAAGGTCGTAAGCACTGTTGCTATTTCACTTACTTAACAACAGAATTTCTGGTTCCAGTTATGATTGAGGGTATCTATATTTGTGAAATAGGGTCCATTACTACATGTAACAGAGTCACCTATGAGTGAGTGAAATAGAGTGAGGCAATACACAGTGGATATGTTTTTTTCTTTCTAGGGAGACCTGGAATATCTGGAGAATTATTAAGTCATATTTTAGTCTATATGTTCTTGCATGGCTCTTCATAAAGTAAGGAACTGAACAGAATTTGGTTCAGTAATATATGCAGTAGAAACTGCTTTACACTGATCAAAGATATAGGTATATTCTTTGACCTATATAAAACCTCCAGAATCAAATTTAGTATCTCAGTTTACTCCGCTGCTGTCTTTAACTTGTTTTTGTGTCTGCAGAGACAGATCATGCCCATGAATCTGTTCTAAGTCAGTTGGCTGCCTTTGAGGCATGCTGAACTTCTTAGAAAATCTCTTAACATTGCAATTGGTCTCAGTTTTTATTATATTAAAACAGAAGGCAATAAATCTGGGAGTTCTTGAGATAACCAAAGGCTCATAGAAATGTTCAGAAATAAAACTAGAGGTGACCCCACTATTATTGACAAAGTGTGAATGTTAAGGAAGTTGCTTCAATTTTCATTAACAAACATATTTTTTTCATAATTAAGAATAATATTTCTAAAATGTAATGTTTAAATTTTAAAGGTCGTGATGTTTCAGATCCACAATGCAAAATAGTTCTTCTAGTCCATGTCTTTAAAAACAACCTTTCCATCTTGTAAAATGGCAAATTATCTGATAATACCTGCAAGTTGATATTTTAGTATTATTAAGAAAAATATAATTAAAAATATAATAAAGTACAAAAGTTAAATTGTTGTGGTGTTTCAGATCTGCAGTGCAAAATAGTTCTTCCAGACTATGTTGCTTTCTTGTATCAAAAAACCTTTCCATAATTATCTGTTAATATCTACAGTTGAAATTAACAAATGCTCACTGATAGTTTTAATAATATTAAGAAAAATATAGTTAAAATATAATAAAATACAAAAGTTAAACACTGTATAGAAACCCCTTGTCAAGGCTGCTAACATTGGATGTTCTTGCTTGACAATATATGAAGAAGCAAACATGTTTTATTTAACTTGTATATCACTTCTAGAGTTAAAGGCAGATAATGTTAGAAGAGAGGGGGGAAAGTATGTACTCGGGGGATAGTTAGCCATAACAATATTTAAGTACAGTATTCAGTACAGTATTTCCAAGGTCAGTTGTAACCAGAGGAGTTACGGGAGGGAAAGTTCACACTTCAAACTAATTGGAGAACGTGATTGATGACTGTTAAATGAAGGAGTGAGTTATGCTTTGTTACGGGTGTTTGGGGAAGGGAGAATTCAGTTTTTGGCTTCATTATGTATGTGCCGAAGCTATATAGCAATAAAAGGATTCTTTAAGGTAAACAAGGCCTCAAAGTTCTTTGAACAGCTTCTTCTTTCGGAACCATGACACCCCTTTTGCTCAGTTATTTTGGAGAACAGAAAGAAAAATGCAATTATAACAATGTACTTCAAATGTAAAATTGCAGATCATAAGAAATTGAAATTAAATGTTTAAATAGAAACATTTATCATTGT